ACAAGAGGAATATACACTGTGGAAAGATACCAAGTTAGACTGGTTCAAATCCTAGCTTGCACCCTCGCCATAGTTGTACGACCTTGGGGAAGCCCCTTGGCCTCTCTGATCTCAAATGTCTTCATCTGTGGAGTAGGAATGAAGGGAGGTAATATGGATCCAGTTCTCTGGCATGAATGATGCAGACCCTCGGCCCAGATAAAACATAAATATACTCACAAAACACCACCCACAACTCCAAAGCATCCAGGTGCCCAGAGGAGCTTGGTGGTGGTGGAGGTGTTGGGAGAGGGTATAAATGCAATGATGGGGGTGCTGGGGTGCAGGGGATGGTGGAGGAGGGGCCTGCCCTGTCTCCTCCTCCCCAACACTTACACAGTGGAGCTGCGGTGACTCCTGACGGACAAGCCCTGCTCAGCTCTCACCAGTCGCTGGTAGGAGATGCCTATGGGCCAACGTGAGAGAGAGAGAAAAAGTGAGCTCACCTGTCCCCTCACCGGCCACGTCCCACGCCTTGCCACGCGTGAGCCACGCACTGCAGCTTAGGCTGGAAGCTCCCCGGCGGGGCTCAGAAGAAACCTGGAGAAGATCTCAGCCATCTGTGTGGCCCTAAGCTGGTCACTGGATGGCTGAGCCTCAGTTTCCCCACGTAAAGGGCAGCACAGAGGGCATGGTCCGGGAGGCTTCTCATCAGCCCGTGATTCTCGGCTGGGAAACTGGCACAGTGGAAGGGACAGCCTTGGGCCCAGGATGCTTCGAGTCCCCACGGCCCAGACAGTCCTGAATCACTGGCTCTGCACCCCCGCGGGGCTGGCATCTTCCTATAGTGGGGGGGGGGTTAGTAGGCACTCCATAGTAACCCCCATTCAGCTGTAGCACTGCCAGGCAGAGTCCTTCCAACCTCCTCTGCCTGAGCTGGGAACCTAGGGCCACCCCTCTGGTTAGGGAAAGCCACGACTGGGGATTTAGAGATAGTGGCAAACACAATGGCCACACATTGTGTTTAGTAAACGGCAGAAACTCTAACTGGGGGCCTAATTGCTCTACGTGTTGGCTTTTCTGGTTATGGTCAGTGTTATGTTCCTGAAACAGTGGCTGGACGCCATCTAGTGGCCATTCCTATATATTGCAGAAAAAAGCACTCAGTGCTTTGGTTTGCAGTGGTTTGGGGAGTGGAGGTCCCCCTTCCCGACTGCTTTGAACTACAGGGCACACGGGCAAATATTACCCTTTTCTGCTACTACTCAATTTAAATTATTTCATTTGCTGGTGCTGGGGCAGAACCTTCCAAGACCTGTGCATGCTAAGCAAACCCTACCACTGACCTGTACACCCTATTTAATATCTCTACTGTGTCATCCACACCCTGCTAATAACCCTGTTCATCTTTACCCTGTTCTGTTAGGACTGACTGAGGACATGTAGATGCCACACGGCAGGAACAGCATGTGGAAACACTCTCTCCATGTGGGGTTATTCCATGAAATACTGGACTCTGGGCTTTGAGCCCCCCTCCCTCCACCACACACACACACACACACACACACACACACACACACACACACACACACACACACACACACACACACCCCAATGACTCATACACAAGTTGCCTGTGATTGTTGCTCAGGATTACTGATCCATTCTTTACAGGCAAGGTTTCTGGTCTGCCCAGTAGAACATAAACCTGGCACTGATGTGACATTTCCTGATACCCCCAGAGCCAGGCACAAGGTGACCCTCTTGGAGGGTAGAGTCAGGAAGTAAGGGGTACCCCCAGCCTTGATAACCAGCCCACTTCCTCTGCCACCCAGCCACAGTTTCCATGGCAACAGGCTCCCAAAGCCTCCACGGGGTAGAGGGAGTGTCTAGCTCCCTGGATCCCTTGTCCTCTTCCCCCTGGGACCCTGCGGAAGCTAATACTTTCCTATTGCCTATTTTCTTCAGTGATAGGAAATCTAGAGAGGAAGCCTCCATCCTCAGAGAGCAGGCCATTGTACAGATGGGGAAACTGAGGCACAGATACATTGACTGTCTTGCCAACCCAGATCCAAGTTTTGAAACTGCTAAGTTCTCTGGCTTCCATTCCAGCCTTCTGTCCTGTCCTGTCGCTACCATTCTCAGCTGGGATTTCTGGAGGGCTGGACTGGAGTGGGGTAGGGGAGCCACAGGAATAAGACTCATGGAATGCCACACAAGAGCCTTTTTTTTTTCTGACAAACTCACCTCAGGGTTGTGGCAGGGCAGTCCCTGTATGTAGTCTCCTGTTTACTGTGGATGAGGGTTGGGGCCTGGGAGACTGACTTGGGGAAATGAGTTAAGTTGCAAGTGATTTTTGTTCAGAAGAAAAGATAATGCCAAAACTTCTGGTTTTATTCCACTGTATGATGACTCATTTTGTACTTCATTTTGCTATCTTAGTCTGGCTTATATGAAGAACTTACATTTCTTTCTTTTCTTTGGCTTTCCCTCCCTCCCTCCCTCCCTTCCTTCCTTCCTTCCTTCCTTCCTTCCTTCCTTCTTTCCTTCCTTCCTTCCTCCCTCCCTCCCTTCCTTCCTTCCTTCCTTCTTTCCTTCCTTCCTTCCTTCCTTCCTTCCTTCCTTCCTTCCTTCCTTCCTTCCTTCCTTCCTTCCTTCCTTCCTTCCTTCCTTCCTTCCTTCCTTTCTGTCTTTCTGTCTTTCTTGGTGGTGGTTCTGAGTTGGGATTCAGGGCATGTACTTGGTGGACAGGTGGTCTACCACTTGAGATACAGCCTAACCTTTCTTGCTTTAGTTATTTTTTCTAGCTATTATTATTAAAATTATTGTTATATTTTTGGCCAGTCTGAGGACTGAACTCAGAGCCTTGAACTCATTTGTTTTGCTTGCTCATGACTGCTGCTCTACCACTTGAGCTATGTTTTGCCTCCAGGTTTTTGCTGGTTAACTAGAGCTGGAGTCTTCTAGACTTTTCTGCCTAGGTGGGTTTTGAATTGGGATCCTTCAGATCTCAGCCTCCAGAGTAGTTTTAGTCTTGAGCCACCAGTCCTTGACTATTTTTCAAATAAGGTCTAATTTATGCCCAACCTGGCCTGGACTATAATCCTCCTATTAATGTATCTTGAGTAGCCTGGATGAAAGATAGACTCCCCCACATGCAGCTTTAAAATTTTTTTTCTTGCTTGAGATAGAGTCTTGCACATTTTTTGTCCTGGCTGGCTTTGAACTATGATCCTCCTGATGTCTGGCTCTTGAGTACCTGGGGTTACAGACATGAGCTACCATGCCTGACTTTTCATATTTTTTCCTTAAGCCCTTTCTACCATTTTGCTATTCCCTCAGCAATGAGTGGACAACAGGAAGCACAGGCTCATTGTAATATTTAAATACATTCTTGAACTGTTTGAAAATGGTTATCTGACATGCAGGAGCTAATAGTTCCTCACTTCTGCTTTCCCTGGAAGAGAACTGTCTAGCATGGGCTGCCTCGCGTGAGCTTCCCCCTGTCCAGGCGTCTGATTTCTCCCTGTTCATCAGGGGCACTGAGATGTCACATGGTCCCAGAGAGGGGGTGCAGCGCAGGCCCTTAGCAGGAAGGGAGCCAAGGCTCCCAGCATTCCCTTTGCTCGGGGCCTTCATTCCATGTGCACCTCCAGTGCTCTGCCTGGCTCTTGCTCCCCAGGCTCAGTTTTCTAGTCTCACTGGTTCTAGCTTTACCTCTGCTTCCCTTTCCACTTCACATCGGCTCATAGGATGCCAGCACCCTGCCGCAATACCTCAAGGCACAGCGTGCATTCAACTGAGGTGAGCCAGTTGGCTCTTCTTAAAACTGGGAAGTGGTCTCCCCACAGATGACATCCCTCCCCAGCCAAACCTGGAGCTCGAACTCAGGGCTCTTTTGCTTGATTTTTTCACTCAAGGCTGGCACTCTACCACTTGAGCCATATCTCCACACTGGCTTGTTGGTGTCTGATTGGAGATAAAGGGTTTTATGGACTCTCCTGCTTGCCTGTCTTTGAACGGTAATCCTCATGTCTCAGCCTGCTGAGTAGCTAGCTACCAACGTCTAGCTTTCATTTAAATCTTTGGTATGTACCAAAGGCCCTGTCATGGCAGTTGTATTTTGAATTCTTTCCCTTGAAATGGTAGAAGGAAAGAAAACAAATTTCCTGCTTTGGTTGGGGGGTGAGAGAAGTGGGAAGTGAGAATGGAGATTGAACTTCAGCTGGCTTGCTTATTTAAGATGTCTTAGGAAAGTAGATTAGCAGACTCTTTAGAATATACCTGAACACCTTTCTATGTGCCACATCATCTCTTCAGGAACTTTTCAACTCTTATTAACTCTGCATCCAAGGATCTACCACGAGGAGGGGACATTTTACAGGTAGACTTTGGGCTTGGCTAACTCTACCTGATTGTTTGTAACAACAGAATTTTGATTGGTTGGGAGAAGACAGATCGGCTGATTGGTTGGTGGAAAACAGATGGTTAAACTGGGCACCTGTGGCTTACACCTGTAATCCTAGTTACTCAGGAAGCTGAGATTTGAGGACAAGAAAGTCCGTGAGACTCTTAACTCCAATAAATTTCCAGAAAACTGGAAGTTGCGCTGTGGTTCAAGTGGTAGAGCACTAGCCTTGAGCTGAAGAGCTGAGGGATAGCACCCAGGCCCAGAGTTCAAGCCCCATGACTGACAAAAACAAAAACAAACAAATAAATACAGATGGTTAATTGGTTGGGAGACAGGCAGATAAGCTGATTGGTTGAGGTAGAAAGGTATGACCCTTCTAAAGGAATTCACAAGCAAAACTTCAATCCTGAGCTTTTTAGGGAGCATGAGTTTGGGGAAAAGTTTAGGTGTTTCTCTCCTGTGTTGTTTAATCTGTATGTTGGCAATTAGGTGCTGTTAATACTAAACAGGATGTAGAGAAGGTAAATACTATCATGGACAACCAAAATTGAATTACAAGATATGTGAAGGCGTGTTTTTTTTCTTTTTTGCTTCTTTTTCTTTCTTGTTTTGGTACTACTAGGACTTGAACCCAGGGCCTCCTGCTTGTGAAGCAGGTGCTCTACCACTGAGCCATGACTGCAGCCACAGGGCTTACATTTTTTAACTTAACAATTTAGTAAACATCTTTTGTTGTTGTTGTTGGTTGTGGGCCTTGAACTCTGGGCCTAGCACTGCCTCTGAGCTCTTCACTCAAGGTGAGTGCTCTACCACTAGAGCCACAGGACCACTTCCGGTTTTCTGGTGGTTAATTGGAGATAAGAGTCTCATGGACTTTCCTTGCCCAGGCTGGCTTTGAACCACGATCCTCAGATCTCAGCCTCCTGAGTATCTAAGATTACAGGCATGAGCCACTGGCGCCTGGTTTAGTCAACGTTTTTTGACCTGACAAACTTGTCCTTGGATACAGCATCCTGAACCATGATCAAAATGTAGGTCTTTGTTCCTTGGCAGATGGTTAAGAAGAATGTGCTGATGAGTGTCCTTGTAGATGCTACATCTTTGCATTTCCATAGTTACTCATCAGAAGTTCTTTGCTAATTTGGTAGGAAAAAAGATCTCTCACTCTTTTAGTTTAGCATTTGCTTTACTACTCATTGGGGTGAGTATTTTGGGAGCCATTGCTTAGCCATTTGTGGTTCTTTTGTTGATGCACTAGGGCTTGAACTCAGGACCTAGGCACTGTCCAAACCTCAAGGCTAGAGCTCTACTACTTGAACCACACCTCCATTTCTGATCATGTTCTTTCTATGGGTGTATTTACTTTTTACAAAGTTAAAAAAAATCCAAAGCAAAACAAAAACAAATTTTGGGTTTATATATTTATATATTCATTTTTGCTGCATTTAATTTTTAATGTTTCATTTATGGGTGGATTCCCATGTATAAGATTTAATATTATGCTTTCAGATCTTTTTAATTCTTTATCGTTGTTGATTGGGGATGCATTTGACAGCTCTTCTCGCTGGTTCAGGCTTTTCCCTCTTGTAGTTTTTGCCAGTCCTGGAGTTTGAACTCAGGGCCTGGGCACTGCCCCTGAGTTTCTTTTGCTCAAGATTAGCACTCTACCACTTGAACCACTGCACCAGTCTTGCTTTTTCTATTTATAATGTATTGAGGAATTGAATCCAGGGCTTCATGCATGCTAGGCAAGCACTCTACCACTAAGCCACATTCCTAGCCCAGTTCAGGCTCCTGTAGCTTATTTTTCTTCTGATTGTACAGTGTTGCTTTTTATCCTTGGATCTCTTGCCTATTTGCAAGTTATTTTGTGGCTCAGATAGAACCTGTGCTTTCTTTTTGGAGAGAATTCTAATTCATTAAAAACTTGTCAATTATCCTGACATCATTTATTAAATGAGTTGTTTTATAATCACTGGCTTGAGGATGCCACTTGGTTATATAATAAATCCTTATATATATAATTTGTTTATAGATATTACCTTTTGTTCCACTCAACTACTTATTTGTGTGTGTGTGTGCCTTTCCTGGGCTTGAATTTAGGGCCTGGGCACTGTCCCTGAGCTTTTTTGCCCAAGGCTAGTGTTCTACCACATGAGCCACATCTCCACTTCTGAAATTTTGGTTGTTAGTTGGAGATAAGAGTCTCACAGAGTTTCCTGCCTGGGGTGGCTTTGAACTTCAAACCTCAGATTTCAGCTTCAGGACCAACACACACACACACACACACACACACACACACACACACACACACACACACACACACACACACACCCTAAGTAAATGCATAAATGGACAAATAAATGCTATCATAGAGCATTTATTCTATGAAATGGACCAGTTATTGTGCTAAATTTTTAAATGATTGTATTGGTATTTTGATTATGGTTACACTTAATTTTCCTAGTGCCTGATATTATTATAATATCAATGTAATCCACTAGTGATACCTATTCAATTATTTTTCCTTTAGGAAAGTTTGTTTTCTCTAAGTAGAACACTCACTTTTCTTTCATTTAAAAATATTTTTAGTGGCTTCTATCAATTTTTTTCCTCCCATTATATTTTCTTACTGGTTGGTGCTGGTATATGGCAAAGTTCTGGGCCTATCTGTTCTGTAATTCTGACAAGTATTCATTCAGGTGATTCTCTTAGACTTGAGAGATAAGCATTTGCCTGAAAGTTAAATGATTAAATCATTATTGTCTCCAGGTAAGGAAGCAGTCTTTATTTTTGTCTTTTTGCATAGGCAAATTCTAATGAGTGAAGACAGAAAGGTACCTGAGTCAGAAAGTAGAGGAAGTGTCTCTAGCTTTTCACCGTGGCCTCTTGCCATATGCAAAATACTTCTATGGCAATACTTTTCATATAATGAGGGCTTTTTTTTTTTTTTTTTTGGTCTAGTCATGGGGCCTGAACTCTGGGCCTGGGCGCTGTCCTTCAGCTCTTCAGCTCAAGGCTAGCGCTCTACCACTTGAGCCACAGCGCCACTTCTGGCTTTTTTCTTTTTGCTTATGTGGTGCTGAGGAATCAAACCCAGGGCCTCACTCATGCAAGGCAAGTGCTCTACCACTGAGCCACCTTCCCAGCCCCGTAATGAGGGGCTTTGAATACCAGTAATGGATTGGAAGTTTACCAAGTGTCTTCGAGACACATCTGTTGAGATGTGAATGTGGTTTAATTCCTTGCAATATTAGCACGTTGAGTTACTCTAACTGGGGGCTACCTCTTAGTACATTCTCCTTGGTTAGATTTTCTCTTGTGCTCTTGCTCTTTTCTCTGGCTTCATTCCTATGTCTATAACAGTACTTGCAATCTCCCAAGAACTTCTTCTCAGGTCTCCTCTATGCACACTTGATGCAAAACAAGTCCTTGTCCAAACTGTCTGGTGCCCATCAACGTGTGCATCCCTGGCACCACCAGAATGGAGCCACGTCACTCACAGTTTCCTACTTGTTTGCGTTGTAAAGGAGACACATAAAGCCTCATGTGAGCATTCTGTGGGCTTCTCTGGTTGATCCACACCACCTTAGAGACCCTCTTTGGCTAAGCTCTTCAGAGGAACTGGCCAAGTGGTGGTGGTGCGGGGAGGGGGGGGGGGGGGGTCTCCTTGTTCTGGGCTCTATCGCCCCCTGGTGGTTCTTCCTTGAGTTACCGCTCATGTTTACGGTTTTAGCCAACTGAGCCCCACTCTGTGTACCATGAAGAGGAGATGCCAAGGCTGTGACCTTGGGCGGGGTTTTGCAAGGTGAGGAGGGTCAGCTCTAAAGAACAGTCTCAGAAGATCCGGAAGCATCCTGACCACATGAACTCTGCCCCTTGTGCCAGTGTCCTGGACACTTACCTGGAGCCTTGAGCTCAGCATCGATGAAGGTGAGCAGTTCTTGGCAGATACTGCAGTAGGGAACTGGCCACGTGAGGAACTGGTGGTAGGTTTTGGCCGCCTTCAGAAGGAGATCTGACTCAGGTGGAAAGTGTGGAGTCTAAGGAGGAGAAGGGGGCAATAAGCAGGGAGGTCCAGATGAAAAAGAGCTCATTGGTATTCCGGAACTACTCCCTTTCTAGAATGTTCCACGATGGATGTGTATTTTGTGGGAATAGTACATCCCAGCTTAAGGTCAGGAAGAATTAGCAGTGACTCCCCAGGAGTGAGTTACAGATGGGCTGGCTTTGACATGTGATCCTCAGATCTCAGCCTCTTGAGTAGCTAGGATTACAGGCATGAGCCACTGGTGCCTGGCTTCAGAGGTCATTTTAAATGGTGCCATTGCTGCTATTCATGCTGAGGAACACTTTTCAATGCTTAAACTATTTTTTTTTGCCAGTCCTGGGGCTTGAACTCAGGGCCTGGGCACTGTCCCTGAGCTGCTTTTGCTCAAAGATAGCACTCTACCACTTGAGCCGCAGTGCCACTATCAGCTTTTTCTGTTTATGTGGTAGAGCAATCGAACCCAGGGCTTCATGCATGCTAGGCAAGCACTCTTCCACATTACCAGACTTAAACTGTTTTTTATTTGACTATTCTCACTACAGGGGAATGCTTATTCTTTTTATTTTATTTTATCTTTTGGGGGGTCCTGGGGCTTGAACTCGGGGCCTAGGTGCTGTCCCTGAGCCTCTTTGCTTTCAAGGCCAGCACTCTATCACTTGAACCACAGCACCACTTCCAATTTTCTGGTGGTTAATTGGAGATAAGAGTCTCATGGACAATCCTGCCTAGGCTGGCTTTGAACTATGGGAATGCTAATTCTTTAGGTGGCTCGATTCCGTATTTATGGAGTCATTCAGTGTCACCAGTTGCTTGGTGAAACTGACCACTGGGAATGAACAAATGAGGTGAAACTTTTTATGGCTTAGGAGCACACACACATGGACACAGTTCTTCAATGAAGCCCAAAAGATGCCAGACACAATAGCTTGAACCACATGGAGACTTCTCAAGATGGCGGCTCTAGTCCTTCTCAAGGCTGGAGAAATGTGGATCATTCATGGTAAAAAATATATCCTGTATTCATCTAATCACTCAGTGTGGATGATTCAATGTGGAAAAAAATATATTTTGTACATATCCACACTCACCTTGCATTCATGTATATATGTATCCTGCATTTATATGAAAATAGATCCTGTACCTATCCTGTGTTCAATTAAAAATCACTTAAATCATTAAAAAGGACCAATTAAAGTCCATTAATGAATTAAAATACATTTATATATGATATATATGTATTTACATATATTTGTATATACTTATATAAATCAATTAAGATGTAATCAATTAAAAATAGATCATACAGTTATATAGATGATGTTCTCAAGGCATCAGAGTTAAAACACATCCAGCTTCACTCTGTGGCCCAATGGAGGTCACTCTTCCTTTTCTTCCCTCTCCTGTCCCCGCCCACTTGAACTTACACATAGGACTGTGGAATAGAAGAGCAGAGCCAGTGGGGCGAGGAGGTCATAGGTACCCGTCTCTTGGACCTATGGAGAGGACAAAGAGGTTAAAATGCTAAAAATCCCATTGCCCGTTCTGGAAATCTGGAGACTTGAGGCACAGCAAAAACTCTCTGCCTCTTCATTAGTAGCCAGCCTCTGCAGGCTCGTTTGGATTGTTCC